ATCACACCGAGCAGACGCACCAGGTTCTTATGCTGCACCTTCCTGGGGCGGGCAGGCACGGGGTGAGGGCGGGCTGGGACCCCCGCCCCGGGTGGCCCTCCCCTCACCCGGGACTCACGTCATGACCGCCGTCTCGTCCAGGAAGGCCTGGGCCGTCACGTCGCACTTGATGTTCTTCACGGCCACCTTCTGTCCCAGGTACTCGCCCTGCAGGACGGCTGGGGGCAGGCAGGGGCAGAGATCAGGACCCCAGAGACCGGACAGACACAGGGACATACTCACTCACATGGACCCCCACAAACGCAGCTGCGGGTCCCCAGGCCCAGAAACCGCCTCACCCCGCAGGCTCCAGACCCCTGAGCTAAGAGAATCACCCAAGCCAGGGGTCTGCCGACTGCCGCCCTCGAGCCCAGGCCTGTCCCCTCCTGGTTTTCCCAAAGGCCCGCAAGCACAGAATGATTTTTACACTTTTAAGTGGTTGGAAAAAATCAAAAGAATATTTCATGGCATGAGAATCACACGAAATTCCATCTCAGTGTCCACAAATAAAGTTTTATTGGCACACGGTCATGCCTGCTCGTTTCCCGTGGCGGCTTTCTGCCACATCAGCAGAGCTGAGCAGATGTCATAGACCATCTGCCCCGCAGAGCCAAAAATATGTGCACTCCAGCCCTGTACGGCGTAGTCGTGTGACCCCTGATCTAAGCCCCGGGGCCTTCCAGAATAACAACTCCAGGCAGTGACATCCCAAACAGACGGACCAGCATGTGCAAGAGCCCAACCACGGTAACTCCTCCTCGCCCGGCTGTCCTGAACCTCCGTTCACAGAGAGAGGAGCCCTTGAGGTCCTCAGCCGCACGGCGTGGACATGAATTCACCTCTGTGCCTCCAAACACTCAACGCTCCCCCACGGCCCTTCAGCACCCCGGCATGCCCTCACTCACCTCCAAACTCTCCCTCTCCGATCTGTGCTCCCAGTGTCAAATGCTGCAGGTTTAGTAACCAGCCGGCTGTGGGGGAAGACAGGTCAGAGGAGTGCCAGGCTCCCCCAGCCCCTCCCACGCCGCTCCGCCTGGCGGGAGACCAGGCTGGGTCTCCCACAGCACACAGTCGGGTGGCTGCTGTTCCCAGCAGTGGCCCTAGGACACACATGAGGCACTGCCCTCCTGGTACTGAAAGCAAGAGAGCCCAGCATTCAGGACTGCCCTTCTCTCTTCTTCCTGAGGCCATGTCCTTCCAAGGACCCCACAGGCTCTTCCCTTTACAGCCCTTTCTGTTGTTGTTTGGGGTGGTAATGAGGTTTACTTATTTATTCATTTTTTTAGCGGAGGTACTGGGGATTGAACCCAGGACTTCGTGCATGCTAAGCACTCGGGCTACCACTGTGCTATTTCCTTCCTTTACCTCTTGTCACCCAGGGACACACACAGACCGAAAGTATAACAGGTTCAGAGACTGGTAAAGGTTCCAGAAACTTCCAGAAACTTTTAGCACTCTTAAGTCCTCATCTGCGCTCCAGCCTCCCTGATCTTTCTCTCAAGCACGCCTGTGTTCCCCCTCCTCTGTCCTCCAGCGGGTTCTGCAGGCCGCCTCCTCTTCCTCCACAAAGCCCCTCTCCAAATCATGAGCACTTGGGGTACGATCAGGCATGGTGAGGCCAGCCTCCGCCTGGGTGCCAACCCCAGGATGCTTCCAAGGAGACCGCCATGATCACCAAGTTCGAAAGGGGTGGCCACGGAAGGGTGCATTTGCCTGAGTATTGAGGATTTCGCTACTCAAGGGCTGGACAGGCATTTTAGGTGAGGGGAACAGAACACACAACAGTACAGAGGCATGGGAAGAAACAAGGAGTCACATAACCCGGTGAGGCATGGTGCGGCTTGTGAATATAGGAAGGACCTTTTAGATGAAGCAGGAAGAATAGCTCAGCCCAAGGGAAGGTTCTGGAAGGCAGTGGAGGTGCCTGGCCTCCCTCTTTTAAGCAGGGGAGTGATGTGGGCGGATTTTCACAGTAGAAAATTGCCTCTGAGACCACAGGGTTTGGGAGGAAAGGAGACTCCCTGCTCAGGAAGGAGGTGGTCTGATGAGAAGGTCTGCGGTTGGGTCAGGGCAGGGGCAGCCAGGCAGGGAGGGGCCAGATTTAACTGGTGTTAGAGCTTGGCCATGGAGGGGCTGTGGGAGGGAGGGGAGGGTCAAGGTTTGGCGCAGGTTTCTGGCTCAGGTGACAGGGTGGATGATTGATGGGGACACGGGGGAACCAGGTCAATACTGTGCTGATCAGTGTGGGTGGGCATGCCTGCCCGACCTAAGGGCAGCCCAGGTCTTCTGCCTGCAGAGCCAGGCACAGCAACCTGCTCCGGTGGTGAGGCCTTGGCCGTGTGCCCAGCCAACATGGGTGGGAAGGGCGGGGCCCCTACCCTTGGCCAGCTCCTCCTCTGCTGACTTGGTGCCCTGCTTCCTCTTGGGTTTCACCAGCTTCGTGCAGATGGCCCCCTTGTCCTTGCTGTAATGCTGCAGGGTGGGGCAGGGTAGAGGCAGCTGTGAGGGGCAGAGATCAGCCCAGAGACCAGACAGACAAAGGGACATACTCACTCACATGGACCCCCACAAAGGGGGCAGAGACCAGCTGGCCCCTGAGTGTGGGGAACCCCTGCATCCCAGCCCCTTCCCAGGGGATTCTTTGGGTGGGGTGGCTGGAAGTTGAGGAGGAGGAGGGGGGTTTGGTTCCCATAGGACTCATTGGGCTGGTTTCCATGGGAACAGAAAAGGATGCAGACCAGGAGGAAACAGGAGGATGGGGGTGTGTCTTGGGATTGGAGGTTCCTGGGAGTCCCCAGAGGAGTCACCCCAGTCCATGGAGGTGGGACCCAGAGTATTCAGACCACCTGTAGGGTGGGTGGTCCATGGAGACCAGCCCCTCCTCCGCATTGCGGGGCATGCGGCTCTGGGGCCCCACATCCACCCAGCTGTAGGGATAGGGGCAGAAGCTGGCGTCCCACCATCTATGCACTGGTGGGCATGGGCTCTGGGGTCCTGGGCCTGTGGTGTGCGTACCTCCACCATATCCATGAGGTTGCAGAAGCAGACCGCCTCATCGATGGTCAGGTGGCCATCCCGGTGCAGCACACGGTAGTGGATGACATCACGGCCGAAGCTCACGCAGAGCACGTAGTCGCCTGGGTGCCGCGCGGACTCTCGCACCAGGAACAGCCCGTCTTCTGGTGGCTGCAGTTGCTGCACAGCCTCCTGGCCGGAGATCTTCCCATGGAACCACCTGCGGCCAGCAGGAGGGTGGGCTGGGCTGGGCTGGGCTGGCCCGGCCGTGCTGACCCCACCCCAGGGCCGGGGCCCTTCCCCGCGACTCACGGCATGAGGCTGAGCTTCGGGTCAGCAGAAAGGGCCTCCCGCTCCCGCAGCGCGCTGGCCGCCAGCAGCCCCTCCTGGCCGCTGGCGTGGTGCTTGGCGCGGTACCAGCTCTTGTTCTGAAGGGAGATAGCCGGCAGTCGGTGTGTGTGTGTGGGGTGTCCTGGTAGACCCCCGCCATCCCGCACCGTGGTCCCCAAGCACACCCAATCCCCCCTGCCACTGCTCACCTCGCAGGCCTCCAGGATGGTGACCACGTCGCCCTTGCGGAAGGCCAGCTCCCCGGGCTTGGGGCGAGTGTGCTCACATTTGGTGATGCATTGGGTGCCCGGGGCCCAGCGCCTCTTGAGGGGGGTGCAGAGAGGGAGAAAGGGGACATGAGGGAGACACGGGGTGGGGGGTGGAGAGAGACCCAGAGGAGAGAAAAAGACTGGATTGAGACAGAGACTGAGAACAGAACACAGAAAGAGAGAGGGCAAGGGAGCAGCCAGCTGAGGAAATATCAGAGTCGCAGACAGAGGTAGGGCCTGGGGCAGACAGTCAGGAGGAAAGGTGAAGGAAAAGCAACTCCGAGTGACCAGAGGAAGCCTGGGCAGATGCCGCCTAAGAGACACGGGTCAGAGAGCGCCCCCGCCTCCCCGGGCTATGGAGCTGAGATCCCACGACTGAGTAGAGGAAGGGCCCGAACACAGGCACCCAGGTTGGGGGTACTCACCGTTGGCATCCTGGCTGAGATGGGTGGGGGGTGCCAGGCGTGGAGGAAGCGAGGGCTCCCCTGGGGAGGGGGCAGAGAGCAGCTGGAGAGCCCAGATTCAAGCCAGGCTGGGGTCCCAGGGGCCATTACTAACACTTTCAGCCCAGGCCAGGTGGAGGTGACAGCCAGCCAGCCTACCCAGGGTTGTAAGGGGGCCAAGGTGCTGGTTCCTCGAGCCCCTTTTGGGAGGTGGCCTTTCCCCAGGTGAGTTCCTTAGGATGGAGCCTGGCCCCACCATCATCCCTAAAGGGAAACTGAGGCACAAGACAGGCACAGAGCCAGTGGCCAGGGGCTGGCTCAGGCCCCAGCAGCCCACAGTGTGTGGGAAACTTGGTGCCACCTAATGGAGCCTGGTCCTTCCTCTTTTTGGTGAGTAGGCAGGGGCAGGGAAAGGAAATAGAGGATGATTCAAGGTCATTCCCGAGAATCTCTGACCCTGGAGGGGGCGGGGGCTGGGGCAGTGCAGCAGTGCTGCGCTCCTCTGGCTGCCAGCTAAGCCTCTCTGATCCTCCCACCCCGGCCAGGGACAGACACACAAAGTCCCTCACTGCTGCTAGAGGGGAGGCTTTTCTGCCCTCTGCCTCCCCCATGGACCCTGCCAAGTGGGGCGGTGGGCGCTGGGTGGTGGATTGGGGTGGGTGAATCTCTGCCCCTCCAGTATGTGCCCCTGTAAACCCCTACATGTACTCACACATATACTGATCCATGTACACATGAGCACACACAAACACACAGGTGGACACAGGTACCCACAAGCAGGTGGGTATGCAAGCAAAGGCAGGTTCACCTAGAGACAGGTGTGTACACGCGTCTACACGTGTGAACACACAAAAATGCTCAGACATTCCGAAATGTGTGTACCCGCCCTCCCCCCACCACACACACAAACCCACACTTGAACACCTGGGCGCCAGAGGCTGGGCCACCGGGGCACGCAGAGCTGTACGCAGGGCCGCGCACACGCAGCTCGGAGACACGCGCACATCCCTCCACGTGGACGCGCGGATACACACACCTGGGGGCTTGGAGATGCTCACACCCGCACCAAAAATAATACCACCCCAGCCCACGCCTGATCGCATCTAACCACCCCCAGCCCCAGGCGCGTACCCGCCGCGCGCTCCAGACGCACACGCTCGCGTGCACACCTGCCCCTCCTGCGCTCGCCGGGTGCCCCCAACCCGCGAGCTCTCTGGGTATCCCCACTGTCCCATGGTCTCTCCCTCAATCCCCGCCGCCCCGCTCACCTGTTCAGGGGGCGCCCCTGGGCCGCACCCCGCACCCGCCCCCAGGAGGGCCCCCGCGCGCCGCCT